AAAACGATTAGACAACTATATATAAACAAATATTGTTTACATAGAGATTTTATATAGTCAGCCAATCGTTTTTCGATGATATCTCGCCATCCACTAAGCCGATTTGGATGATCTAACCACTGTTAGTGTGTCTTGACGAGTTCTACAACTTTCAATTAGTGGATATGTATTGTTAACTTAGTAAAAAATTGACTTTACTTTGTAGCAGCTGCAGATTTCATATTAATATAAAAATTTATATTATTAAATTTTCACCAAATTTTACTATGATGCTACTGTCGCTCACTCGCGGACTAGTACTTAATTAACATAATATATTCCACTGCCTCTTAAATGATTATAATCCTCCAATTTATGCAATGGCTCAACGTTTTTATCAATATTATCGAGCCATTTGTTACCATTTGGATTCATCATTTTCTTCAAAATTTTTTTGTTACCCTGGATCCAGAATTTGTTCTCAAATAAATAATCAGAGTCATAGTCTTCTGGAAGAACATTAAAATAAAATCTACAAGGTTTTCTGGTACAATTGCATTTCTTGATTTGTGGAAATTTGGTTATAGTAATCAATGCATATTTTTAAAATATTGTGTTAATTGGACTTTTTTTAAAGGAATAAATTGGTTTGTCGAGATTGCAAAAATCGCTTTTCATTTTGAAGAATTGAAGAAAAAAAATCACTTATTAAATCAATAACATTTTTATATACTGACGCTAAATACAGTATCATTATCGTGATCCTAATCATAATAAATCACATAACGATAATTTTCGAAACTTTTTTTTGGGTGGCGATTTAACTTTAGTGATGCAATTTAAAAACTGGCTGTTTTACTTGCTGGTTTAAGATGTCCTGCACTATATATTATATAAAAAGAAATTATACGAAATTATCTGCTTCAACTATATCGATATACTTCAAATTGCTTAGACTTTTGGAAACGGTAGAATAAAATGAATAAAAGATGCTATCGCTACAGTATGTATTAAATTGATCATGTGATTGAAATTTGATAATTCACATGTTATTACGGAAAATTTATTTTGCGGTAATCCATACTCTCTTGAAAGACCTTCGACTCTCGACTTGCAATGGTTTATACAAATAATGAGAGATCGATCTGTATTGGTGTTTTGGGTATATTTTTTTAATTTGATCTACCTGATTTAACATAAATACTTGTCGCCCGATTATTAACAATAAAAACACTTAATAGCTCTTCAAGGGGCCTTTCTAGAGCACATACATATACTTCAACGCATTCCACAAGTCTCGCAAGTAGTTCCTGTGCGTACTGTTGAACAACTTGATTCAGTTGATGCCTTGATAGTACCTGGTGGAGAATCTACGGCTATTGCCCTAGTTGCTGAACGTTCTGGGTTAATTGAACCTTTACGTAAATTTGTACGCTCAAAGCCTACGTGGGGAACCTGTGCTGGGATGATCTTATTGGCTAACAAGGCCAATAGAACCAAAAAAGGAGGTCAAAGTTTAATAGGTGGATTGGATATAACCGTTAATAGGAATGAGTTTGGAAGTCAGGTAGGTTTTAATATGACATTTAATATTTAGAAAATTGATGATACTAATTTTCAATGTGATCTTTCAACAGATCGACTCTTTTGAATCTGCTATTCAAATTAATCATATCACAACCTCATCCAGTGATCTTTTTCCAGCAGTATTCATTCGTGCACCCATAATTTCATCCATCAATTCACCTGATGTAGAAGTCTTGGCTCGACTGCAGTGTACTACTGGAGAAACGGATGTATCTGCAATTGTAGCCGTTAAGCAGGGTCATTTATTAGCAACAGCTTTTCATCCTGAATTGACTAATGATGATCGGATACATAGATTTTTTGTAAAAGTTGCAATAGATTTTTTGAATGAAAAAAAAAGTTAAAGATTTATTTAGTATACCATTTTATTTATCCTGCCTTAGACACCTATTAAGAAATAGTAATAATAATAATCCAGTGACCTTATAAAATGATAGAGAATTAAATAGGTAATAATTTCGCAACACTTTGGTAACTCTAATATTTAAATTTTATTTTTACTATTTTTATACTACGTATATGTACACGGGCATTAATTAATATATATATACAGTATAAATCAAGCTAATTTTTATAAACAAAGTTGGGTTGTTTAATATTAGAATAAGATTAGTTTTAGAGCTTAAAATAGTATATAAAATTTTGAGTTTTTTTTTGGATATTAGTATATATGTCGCATCTGAAGTACCACCTACTGTATCTGGAGTTGCATTACGCATGAAGATTCAATTTCAGGGCTTAATTCTAGTCAAGTGCTACTCTATATATCTAAAGTAGCAACTCCAGATAGATCGCCAAAGAAACATTTTGAAAATTTTAACCGTAAAGATTTTTTATTAAATTTTAGTATAAATTATACTTTATATATTTTTTTTTAGTTTTAAAATTAATCTTACTCTATATATAAGGGAGATGGAGGTATTGTTGCCGGGGGTATGGTGTCCAAGAACCCCAAGTGGCATATCTCGTGATCTAGTGATCAGAATTGGAAAATTTTATACCATTCGATTCGTCTCTTTGAGACGAATTGAATGGTATAAATTTATCCAATTCTGATCACTAGATCATGAGATATCATCACTTATGCAAAATATAAATTTTCGCGCATAGAATTTATTATTCATATCGGCGGATTTTTGGAATTTACTATTAAAAATTCCAATAATATTTAACTGTGAATAACTTTTGATCTGCTGGTCCGTTTTCGATGAAACAATTACCAAAATGTTCGTCTCGATGAGACGATTCTAATGGATATGTAAATATACATAGAATCTTTAACAGTTTGATCCACTGGTCCGTTTTGGATGATTTTATCACCAAAATGACTGTCTCAATGAGACAATCTTAAAAGCATAAAATTGTTAAAATCTAATCATGGAGTCCTGAAATCAATATCAATTTATCTTATTTCAAAAATTATATAAATAAAATCTGCAAATTTATATATATAAATCTTTAATGATCTTGGAATCCCATAATTGGATTTTAATAATTTTGTGCTTGTTAGAATTGTCTTGCTAAGATGGTCATTTTGGTGATAAAATTATCCAAAATGGACCAGTAGATCAAAAGGTATTTATTATTAAATAATTGGTCACAATATTTCCCTTCCTTAGTATTGTTATATAGACACTTTTGAACAATTTTGAACATTTTTTCAAATTAAAATTATTTAAAATTTTATTAAGATAATCTATTTTAATTTTTTCATAAATGAATTCAGCATCTAAAAAATATATAATTATATATTTTTTAATTTACTTTAAATTTTGGACATAGGCTTGGACAATTTTGAACAATCTTGAACATTGAATATTGGATATAGTGTGGACACGTCTTATATACAACACTGCTCCTTCTTTTTAAAATTTGATTTTATATTTTATTTATATATTAATTATTTATATCTAAAAATATATATGATATAAAGATGTTTTATAGTATTTTATTCTTTATTAAGCATAGTTTAAATAATAATAATTGTATAAAAATCTATATGTTTATTAAAAAATTTTATTAGTAGAAACTTTAACCTAGCTATAATACTTTATTTTCTTTATATATATAATGATTTGAACATTTGTATAATATAATTTATTAGAATTTCAAAAGTAGTTTTATTAATAAAAATAATATTATTTATATATACACATAGTATATAAGAAGAAATTTTCAAATTTATATATGGGAACCCCACAGCAAAAGTGTGCAATGAGCCAAAAAAATTTTTTTTTCTAAACTCAATTTTTTGAAGAATTAGAACAATCAGCTTTCAATTTTTATAAAATTACAAAATTAAAATTTTCGGCCTATTGCACCCTTTTGCTGTGGGGTTCCCATATACTGTTATAGAGTTGTAGTCTTCTTAGTAAAATACAACCAAGTAACAAGATCACTCAGTGTAGTGATTGACTTTTGCAATATACACAGGGTGAACATATAGTTGTTTACTTAATTGGTAATCCACCAGTCAACCAGAGAGTGATCATAGTAAAATATGATTCAAATTACTTATAAAAATTAGGGTTTTCTGAATGTGGCGTGCACATATCTAAAACTTTTTTTTATACTAAGTTAACTACCTTTAGGCTTCTAATTGGAGTTGTAGAGCTTATTGAGAGGAATCTAATGGTAGTTGAATCATCAAAATCAGCCTTGTAGATTACAAGATATCTTTGAAAAATGTTTTGCTGACTATGTAAAATTCTTTAACAATACTATTGTTAAAGAAGAATTTTACATAGTCGGCAAAACATTTTTTGAAGATATCTTGTAATTCACAAACTGATTTTGATGATTCAACCACTATTAGATTCCTCTCAATGAGCTCTACAACTTCAATTAGAAGCCCAAAGATAGTTAACTTAGTATAAAAAAAAGTTTAGATGTATGCACACCACATTCAGAAAACCCTAATTTTTATAAGTAATTTGAATCACATTTTACTATGATCACTCTCTGGTTGACTGATAGATTACCAATTAACTATATAGCAGGAGGCAAATGGTTTAAGATAGTAACAGTATATAGAATAATTTTATTTCATACAAGAACACAGAATAAACCTTGCCTGTAGGAATTATCCTAAAGAGAGAATATCATATTTACAAAAAGAGTATAAAAAGAACAGAGTCTAAATAAAGTATAGAAACTTATGAATTGACAAAGAAGGAAAAGATATCTTTTTATTTATAGAAAGAATATACAATGCACAATAAATGAGTAGCACTTGGTAGGAGAAGAAGAGGAACTTGTGTATATAAAGTAAGAGATTGTGTTAGATGAAGAAGATAATTGTGCTAGATGAAGTAGGTGAATATAAACATTATTTATTATGTTTATATTTATTTATAGCTTGTGTGGAAGAATTAAATAACAATATTTTGTGTTTAAAATATTTAGAGTTTGTGCAAAAGAATTAGAGATTTGTATAGAAGAAGGTATTCATATGAGAAGAAGAAAGTGAACTTGTATTACTTTTTTGTATAACACTTTTGTGTAATCTAAAGGACTCTTTTGTTTAACCTTATATCATCTAAAGTCATGTGAGATTATATAACTGTGTCACACTTCTAATAGCCAATCAAAATGTTTCTATATTATTATTTTTTTTTTTTTGGTGTTAAGGTGGGATCTTGCTTATAACTTTATTTATTAATAATACTTTTATATGTACTACTACATTTTTTGTATTACATATATCAAGTACATCAAGCTTAGACCTGAATCCTATTGGTAATCTACGCTCTGGCCGAAATCATTACTTGTGTGATAGGTGTTCCCATTTGCTATCAGCTACCGATCTAATTATCTGTGATCCAAACCTACCAGAGTGATATATCATCATCGACCTACTTACCTGATATTTTACTATCTTTTACAAATCCTATTTCAGTACATTTTTCTATAACTAAATTTTCTGCATCACTCATACCACTTATACCCAAGCTTCTAAATTTGATAATCCTCTTTATAGGAAGGTCTTATAGTCTAATTAGGTTACTTTTAATCTTGGTGAATTTTAGCTAGCCTGTTTAGGTGAGTCCTATCAGTAAGCTCTATACTAACTCAGGTTAAGCTTCTATTAATAGTGTCTAGTTTAGTTAGTATGCTTGCTAATCTCCATTATCACATTGGGTAGATACTCCTGTGTATTGATGCAAGTTCGCTGTGTTGTGTTACAAGTTACCTCATAACTCTCAGATAGTGGTTTTTCATATTACTTCTCTTCTATAAACTAACAGATTGGATATCATCTAGTAACTATGGTGTTTTAATACACTGATATTTTAGGTTACAAGACACTAGGAATATAGATTTAGTTTGGCTTGCGGTCTGTAATACTCCTAATTAATCTTGATATCCTTTAGTTTTTCTGGTATGCAAGCTCTATTTGTATAATGTACTACCAGCCCAGTAAATCTAGCATTTCAAGTTATTACTGCATACCCGAGTTTCAGCTCACTTACTTTGTTGTTGTAAAGTTTTTCTCTAATAGGCTAAGTGGCTTGGGGCCAGAGATGCTTCTGATTCCACTTAGGCCAATCTTTTTCTACAGATCGTTCTCATGTTCTTCATTTTTCTCACTACTCCAGTTATGCTACTATCATATCATACTCCCAAGCAAGTATCCCACAAGTTGAATACAGGAATGTTGGTGCTGCCTTGGTTACCCCTAATCGAGAACTGATATGTACAACATTTGTATAACAGAACCTTCTATGACTCAGCATTATGTGTAGTACCACCTCTCCACGATTGGACCTTCTTCTGGGAATTCTCTTTTCTAGTTTTGTACTTACACTTGGATTTAATCACAGAGCTCTGCATTCGATTATAGTCCCCTTCTGGGTTACAGAAGTGAAAAATCTTAAGATTTTGCCTCCAGCCCAACTTGAACCGTCAACCTAGTCTGTGGGGGTTTGGCAGCTTAACTGCTAAGCTATAGGACCCAAACTCTGTTTCTATATTAATGTTATATAATATTCTATCTAAATATATATAAAACTAATATATAATAATATAATAAATATATTTTATAAAATCTATACTTTTTTTTAACCTTTATAACATCGTATGAAGATAGATTTTTATTAGATATTTTAGATAGTACAGTACTGAACAGTTTAAAATATCAACTAGTTATTAAAGCTTCAAATCTAGAGTAAAGACAATATAAAACATCTACTTTTTATATAAAAGCATCAAATTTAAATAAAAATAATATAAGATATCCACTTTTTATATAAAAACACCAAATTTAAATACAAAACAATAACAAGATATACTAAATCTAAACAAATTCACATTTTTTATAATATTGAATAAAAAAAAAAACAAA